GAACTCGTCGCAGAGAACGCGTCGAGACAACAGCCCAAACCCAACTTTGGGGAAAATCCTGAACAACTAAATTGATATATGTTGCACATGTTAAGGGAGTCTTGACAACTAACCCAATGTACAGGTTTCTGAGAGTAACCAACTTAAAATACCCGGATGTTCGGTCGTGTTTAGGAAACCACTTTTCACATATTCACAATTCATTAAGATGTATTTCAGTCACATGTTCTGACTGGCAGTCTAATAAATCTTGAAGTTAACCCATAATTCATTTAACCTACATACAATTCTGCATTCGATTCGACTTAAGTATATTTTGAAAAAGCTGTGACTTGATAAATTAATTGAAAATGGTGAATAATTAAGTCCAATTTCATGTGAATATGATATGAATTGCTATGGCAATGTATTTATGAACTTGCAAACATTTCGTGAGTCTAATGAAGACTATGCAGCAGAGACAGTGCTTACTAAGACGACAATATTGTTGTAAAAATTGAAATGCTGTAGAGTATACGAAAGTTCTCAAGTGATTACATTTATCAGGTAGTGAGTATGATACTCATTCTTGACAAATTAGAAGCACATTTTGTTCCAGTACGAAATATAAGCGATATGTATTTCATGATACTGATAAACAACCAAATGAAAATAATGACTAATGTGTGATAAGGCTTCGCCAGCTAGCAGATGTAAATTTGGCACTTTTGAAGATGGAATGGTTCGAGACAGTATGGTTCTTGGTTGTAAAGATTCTGCAGATAGAGCCACAAAAGTATTAGAGTTTCTGAGAATACAATAACAGTTGATGAAAATGGGTCCAGAAAATACAGCCAACCCTGTCAACTCTGTGAAGCGTGACAGCAGAAGTGGTGCTAAAAAGCAACAACGCTACACAAAATTGAATGAAAAACAGAAAGCAACGCCTCAGTGTGACAAATATAAAAGTACTGGGATAGTGAACATGTATTTAAAAATAATCATTTCGAAAAAGGAGCAAACAATGTCACCAATTTCAAAAACATATACAAGTGCACCAAATAGATGACTTCACTATAGAGAACTGGACATACTATACTAATAGTCCAGTAAATTTATGGTTTGACCTATCACAAATTGCAACAGAAATAATTTCTTCACAATACATTCCGGGGAGGTGCCTAGATTGACATACTAAAAGTCTAGAAAAATCTAGGCTTCCGAAATATACCTAATTTGCATATATTCAAAATGACCGTTTGGTGCATTTTTACAACATGGTAAGTATAACTATTAGGATATATCTTTAATTGTAGATGATATTTTTAGATATTCAAGTTGCTACGATATGGTTTGGTGTGTGTGAATGTATGTGATTGTGAAACATTTGATTGAATAACAACCATTTGCATAAATTCAATATGGCCGTCAAAATAGTATCATATAAATGTGCAACCTTGGGCGGCCCCTCGGAGCCTGTTCCTCGTAATGACTCCGTGAGCCACGCCGTGGACTGAAGGGGGAACATTAATCCTAGTGACCTGATCGGATCGGATTTTTCGGTTCCTCCCCCGACCCCGGTACCACAAATTTTGTTGGTTCTGTGGGAGGGGCAAAGGGGGTGGCCATGTTCATGGAATATTTAGACCGGTTAGTCGGAAATAATGAGTGGCTACCCTCAGCCTACTGGAACGAATAGTTTTGCGCCGCCAGCACTCTGAAGTCTCAATGGCAGAACGCACCAGCCTTCTAGACCAGCAGACACAGCAGTTGGTGGGACACCGCCTCAGTTACACAGGCTGGACCTGCCCCACCCTCTTCTTTTTTGAGGATGGAAGAAGCAGTCTCAGTGCTTCTGGATCCCACTGACCAGTTGGTACAGGTGAGACCCGCGAGCCAGTTTGGCTTCTGCCAAGGGCAAGCGATAAGAACTCCAAACTGAGAAAACGTAACGACCAAAGTCAGCACCCACTGGCCAGAAGTAGCCAGGAGGCAGGCGTCCCGACTCTTCTGGGGAGGGAAGAGTGCCCCCCCGAAGAAGGGACCAGGTGGTGGCCCCCTCTTCCTCAGGGGTCACTTACCCAGCTCGCAGGGGAAGCAGGTTGGATGCTTCCGCTTGCTACAAGGGGTATGGGCATATTAAAACCGGTCTTCTGGTTCAGAGGCAGTGCTCAACTGATCCCTGGATTCTCCAGGTGGCGATACATGGTTACAAGATCCCGCTGCAATCTCCATCCTCCTGGCACCAGCTCCCACTCGGGGCACTACCAGGGGACCCCCGCAAAGTGGGAGCAATCCGACAGGAGGTAGATAGTTCACTTACAAAGGGTGCTATACACAGGATAGGGGACCCAGCATTAAGTCCGGGCTTCTACTCACAAGTATTGGTGGTTCCAAAGACTGAGACTACAGGTGGCTGTGCCCCGTTCTGGACTTAAGCAGACTAAATCAGTATAAGCCTCTTGGAAATGCCGAGTACCATATTATTCTCCATGCTCTGTTTCTACTGTGTAGTCTCACTAGATTTGAGAACCACTCCAGAACGCGGAGTGGCAGATACCCCAATGGGTAACTTCCAGACTGTTTTGACGGTGGGACGGTCCAAGTTTAGACCTATTCATCACATGCCGGAACGCCAAGCTCTCAACATACACGACACTCCTGCCGACTCCAGGGGCCTGGACTTTGTCGACCCCCGTGGGCCCCCATGAACGTGTACTCATCACACCCCAGAACGCCAAGCCGTCGACATACACAACACTCCTGCTGACTCCAGGAGCCTGGACTTTGTCGACCCCCGTGGGCCCACATAAACATGTACTCCTTTCCTCCCCTCCCACTATTCACCGGGTACTGGAGAAACTTCAACAGTAGCGCATCTTCACTTTGATGCGGGTGGCGCCCAACAGGTCAAGCAAAGTCTGGTTCCCACTACTGTTGGAAATGTTAGTCGAAACACCAGGGGTGCTTTCGAACTTCCGGATCTGCTGTCCCAACCAGACAGCGCACTGCCTTTGAGCCCAGCTGTGTACCACTTACACGCATCGAGGCTCTCAGTTGACTCACTCAGATTTTTTCTGAGTGGGCTGCCAACATCCTGGCCAGGGCGAACAGGATCCCACCAACACAGCCTACGCCTCGAAATGACGTACAAACACTGATTGGTGTAGTGGAAGGGAGATCAATGCCATCCCTTTGTTGGCCAGACAGCTGACTTTTCGTCCATCGTTTGAATGAAATGGACGATTGTTGGCTATAGGTCAGCCTTGTCACCCACCATTGGGATTCTCCGGGGACGAGGCTAGCCGGTTTTCCTACCATTAGGAGACTGTTTACTGTTTAATCAGAAGCCTAGACCCCGAACGAGGGAACCAACCAATTGGAACATATCGGTTGTGTTGGCCACTCTAAGCAGACTGCCCTTTGAGCCTCTCTGATCAGCACCATTCAAACTTTTGAAGTGGAAAAAAGTCTTCCTACTCACCCTCACCTCAGGTAGGCGTCGGGCTGAAGTAGGGGCCCTGTCCTTTTCGGACGGGTGTTTCGCCTTTATGGACAATCAAGTCGTGATAAAGACACGAATCAGGTTTCTCGCCAGGAAGCAAATCCCAGGACGCGTTCCACAACTGATCATCATTCCTGTAATGACTGACAAGGAGGCAGCACCTGAATTTCTCTTGAGGATAGTGAGATGCAACTGCTGCACACACTGTCGCAGTCTCAGATGTACCTGCAGAAAGCACAACCTTGAATGTTCTGCAGTTTGTGGTCAATGTCGAGGATGCACAAATGTAGTTCAGATATCTTATGAAGATAGTGATGATGATTAGCAATTACATTAATCAAACAATAAACTTTTGGACAGAATTATAACCAGTTAATACAGTTTGTTAAATCAAAAATATAGTTTATAGAGTTGAAAATTTACGTTTAAATTGTCTATTATGTATATAGTATAGCAGATTTGTAGATCCAACCAAGGTGTTTCATTCCTCTAGTTTTCTTTTAGATGGGACGGCCTCGTAAAATTTATGCAGATGAAGCATCCGTCTACCCAGGAAACCATTTATTTACATCTTTTCTGTACTGTACGATTCTGTTTAAAATTGTAGCATATTAAACTTATTACTTGTGCCACATAGAAGAGAAGCCGGAAAAGAAGTTACATTAAATAATTATATTATGTCCAAAGATATGTCCAAATACTTATATTTCCATGTTGTAAAATTGTGCAAAACGTCCATTTTGAATATATGCATATATATATACTGTGAAGAAATTATTTCTGTTTGTGACGGGTTGGCTCCCTTTTTTTGCTAGAATGACTGGACTATAAGATGCCTGCTAAGTAAACATTGCACTTGCAACCTGTCCAGATAATAACCTCCGTGTTTATCCCCACACATCCCCTAATACAATAACATGGTGGCAGGGAAGCAACTTGATGTTCTGAAGATTTGTGAACAAGTGAAAGAATCCACAAACTGTCGTCAAAATTGAATTCCGGCCGGTAAATACGATGAGTGAATTTAACTTTTCCGCTACTAAGTAACTGCTTCACAATTGAAGGAAATGGAAGGTTAACATGAAGTACACATGGTGAAGTCAACTAAATTCAGTTATCCCAAAAAGAAGACTGACTGCCATATTCCAAAACGTCTATTACCAAAATATTGTTCGCAGGCGGCAAACAAGCCATGTCTCCTAGGAGATTGTCAATCGACGACGTAGTGGTCACAAATTACGTGCAAAGACCAATGAATGTTCCAATAGAGTGTGTAATACTCGGAGATGTGATATAAAAAATGTCGCATGGCCTTTCACATGATTTGTGCTTGATAAATATGATAAACTCGTATATGTATCATTCATACGACAGCATTGGAACATACGAATTCAAATAATCCCAAAAATTACAATCCTACAGTCAATTTTAATAGATAAATTATACATATACACTTTTATACCTCAATACACTAACAGACTAAATTGATATGTTTCAAACTTCCCATTAATGATGTTTAAAGTGCAGCACATAAGATATGGTAAGCCATGGAAGCATTGACTAAAAATCCAACTGAATAGACTAGAACACGCCAAGGCTGAATTCCGGCCAGGTAACTTATGCTATGCAGAATCCGAGAGATTGCAAAAACGCGGAAATGCCATATTGCAGTGCTGGGTACTGGTTCCGTTGCTATGTACATACAACCCAATGCTAGAAATACTGGGATGTTTTCCAAGTCGTTTCTATGGAGCCTGTGTAAAAATACAAATATTATACAATTATAAATATAGCGATTAGCACATGCTTAAATGAATATAATAAGCACAGATTGGTCAAAACTCGTAAGTACTATATTTTGGTTCTAAACGAATAACTGACAAATTTCCCACCTTCTGACTCTTTCTACATCTTCATGTTTCGTAACAGGTCTTTTAGTGTCTTCTGGATTGGAAAACGCCTGAAAAATGTGTAAATTGAGAACATATGTTTTCTAAAGAAAATCATCACATTAATACCGTTACTTGCATCGTCCGAATCGCACGGTTTCTCTAAAGCAGGCCATTCATAATATTGAGGCTTCGGCCAAAAAATGGTCCTTGGCTGGCGAAGATGGGATACTTGCAAAATAACACACACAAGAAATGTACATACAATTTGACTCTGTCAATAATTAACATTATAACAATTTTCCTATAGTTTTGCATCTAATCTTTTTTTACGTGTATGTATATTTGCAAGTACACTTTATTTTCAAGATATTCATCATGGATATTCACACATTAATTTCACGTTAGTTAGCGTATATTGTCTGAAGTAAGTCCTTCTCTAACAGGATTACTCTGTTGAAATTGTGTACGTGTTCAATATGCTTGATATTGTTATCCGTGTAATCCACGCCAAAGGAACAAATAATTAATATGATAATTATCCAATTATTATACACCGAAATGTATTTTTCATATTTTAATTAAAAACATATTTTGAGTGGGGTTAGCGCAGGCTAAACATCGAAGAAAGCAGTCTTTTTAAATGCTTGTTGATTGTCTTTACATCTTAAAACGCGAGTCTACTGTAATATGGGAGAATGATTTTAATTGGTACTTGCTTCCACACAACGTGTCGTCTACACTCGACATCATACATGCAGTAGAGTTTCAAGTTACTTATTCAATTGGTGACCAATTATACTGACAATACAGATCAGTACACGTGGACTTAGTACCAACTGCTCATTTCATACCTTATCAATCGCCATTACAAATTTGAAAGGCGAGAAACACTCCGGCAATCTGAGTCATTGGCCTTCCCCCGAACACCAAGTTGCTCACTCCCTAAACATGACAATCAACGTACATGGTTAAGAATGTCCTGTGACATTAAGCTCTTGAATGGAATATAATCATGTATATATCTGTATACTAGTACCTTGTACTTAAACCGACGGTATGTGGTAAAAAGCGACAGGGCCATCATTTTCACAATAATAACAGTGCCACATGCAAGGTACGACCTGAAGACGTCGTTGTCAAGGTGGAAAATATCAGCCATGATGTGTTCCGTTCAATGAGTATCAACAGAGCGCGATGCCTAGATATGAACTAAACATGTGAGGAAATCTGATGTCTATATCAAAACTGATGACCTTTTATCGTTGGGTTATTGGGTTAATCATTACTAGTTCGCTGGTTTGGTGTCATTTGATCATTCAGGGTATTCAGTATTTCTTTATTCATTATTGTAGAATAAGATGTACTAGTATTCTACAGTCGGTAACCCATGGAGACGGTTTAATAATTGAATAGAATCCCCCATCCCCAACCATTTTTGCATTCTCCATTTTTGAATATCGTAATGTTAGATCCAAGTTTTATTTTGAAAATATCGGTATCAAAGTGTATGTGGGTAACAATATTGTTACGGGATGCTCCGCGATTTCTAACTTGCTTTCCAGGCTGAATCCAACCATGTTCTAAGGTAACCACAAATCTTGGCCTTGCACACGTGCTGGGCTCTGAATATTGATCATCGATTAATTGAGTACATGTAACAATGATTTAGAATTAGCTCTGCCAATTGTGAATATTCACTGAATAATCATCTGTTCATCATTCCGCCAGGGGAAAGCACACTTCGCAAAATGTTTGCTGATTTAAGCTGAAGTCAATGAAATTTCAAGATTGTGGCAATAGATTAAAGACATATCGCTTCCCGTAACAACATGTATTTGAGAATGTTTCACTATTGAGATGCAAGGATAATGTAGCTTAATGAAAAAAAGAAAATGATCTGTTACGTAACGACTTTCATGAAAGTCGTGATATTGTCACACTGTGAACAAATTTGACTGAGGCCATTGAAGATGAATAACATATTTGCCTATTAGTGGCACATACTGTAATGTTTTAGTATACACACAATATAATGTATAATATATACTTTTAATAAAGTAAATACGGTACATTAAATATGTATGCGAAAAAACGTAAAAATATAACAAATAGTCAACAAATATTGAAATTATGCTAAAATTAATAAATCTGACAGCGACCCAACATCCACTGTACCTGAACGAACACATAGAGAGGGACAGAAGAGAAAGTAAGTAACACGCTGATTATGAAATGAACAACTCGTTCAGTTGTATTCACGTACCTATATAAGGTCTGTGGTTACACGAATCCTGTGATATGCAGTAGGAACAAATTCATTCATCTGATCTATCGATATTTAAATGAAATCACTACACCTACTTTACTTTAGCATGGGGTATCCATCAAGTTATTTTGATCATTAATATCTTTTATTTGTTTATGCTTTTTTTATTTTTACTGTTAATATAGTATATATGTACACATAACGTAATAGCTCAATACATTTCAAACATGGAAATTAAATGTATTTCAATATAAATACATGTGATATACAGTTAATTCAATAATACACATAGTCTGGATTAATATTGGGTTCTTCCATTGTAGGTGGTTCTGTGTTAGTGTTTGAACGTGTATCAATATGTGGCATACGCTGTCCTGTTTTGATTCTAGGACGGATGATGCGTCTTAATAGTTCTGCAAGGGCGTCAATATAATGTTGGAACATGTGGTCAAGATCGGCATCAGAATGATTTGTTTCGGGAGCATATGTTATAACGATCTATCTAGTGTGACGTATCTAACTAATTTTTTTGTCGTAACCATACTTTTATTCACTCGATTTCATATACATCATTTCTGTATTTCTGTATAATTTTATTATTTTTTTGTTCATTGATTATTTATGTCATTTATTAGTTTCACGGCAAACTTTATAATTGGGTGATCTTTAGTAGCAGACTGGATTTTGTTTATAGCACGTTGTATTGTTATTTCCCTGTACAAACGAAATATACACATCAGTACCCTTGCTTCAAGAATGACTTCGACGCAAAGGATGTCGGGAAAAGTAATCACTCGGGTTATTTGCCCCAGGTCTGAATACAACTTCAATTTTAAACCGTTGTCCTTTGGACACCCATCTCTCCATGCGGTCGACATTTGTGCAGTTCAATACTGACATGTGGTTTCCTTTTAAGTTTGCTGTAGCGTGTTTCAGTTTCAGAAAGTGTTCGACTAGCGCAACTGATAAGTTAATCTCCCTGCCGAAAAAAATGCCCCTAGACTAACATCAACATTGTCAGTTGTCTCTTTGTTTACATCAAACTAACCAAGGATTTTATTTTAACATATTGATACTGATATGCCATTTGTTGCGTTTGACCCCAAATAAATTGCACACAATTTAACATTGTTAGATTTCGTATTGGTTCACTCAATGTGCTAAGCTGTGGGATCATCATTGGCGGAAGTCCTAACATGCCTAAAAATGATTTTTGTCAGGGTGTATTCACTAACGAATTGTTTGGACACACCTTTCGTCGCATCGCATAACACTTTTGTCAAATTTCCGGAACAGAAAAAAATATATGTTTACAAAGATTCATTGTTTCAAACAACTACGAAGGACAATGTCATGTGACTTCTGATCTTTGCCAAGAATAAATATATCCTCTGAGATACTCTCCACAGAACTAAATACATACCTCGGTTTTGGAATTAAGGCCAAATGGTGAGCGTAAAATACAGTCTGAGTCATACATACGTACAAATTGTTGTCCAATTTCGTGATTCTTCGTAAAGCTAAAATTGTAAATACCGATTATTTGCATCTAATATAATGAATACGGTGTATTCATTTGGTGCGACAGTGAGGATCACGACGCTCTCTTTGTATCGCGTTATTAACGGCCTTGTAATATTCCCAGTACCAACCTCAATCGATCTCATCCAGGGTGTTGAGCCTTCCAAAATTTCAAAGTTAAACGTTTCCATATCTTGGAATACACCAGTATGATTGCATATATTGTTCGTAACGAATTCAGGACAATGTGGAATACTCAAATCAGAGATTAATTTAGTTAAGGAAGGCGGTAGGTGTATGCCTTTTAGTGTGTATTCGTACTGGGGATGTACCTGTGAAGAAAACATGGTTGAGTTGCAGAGGAATAGCCCATGATATATGAGTCTTCAGAGTTTTCAGAATTTTAATGTTTTTTCCCCCGAATCTATGGCTTCAATGGCACAAAACACACCGGTATGCAAACACATTTCTGTTAGTTGGCATTAGGTAACAGAATCAATGATAGAATCAAAACCGTGTTGGTTCAAAATAATATGACAGCAGCATTTAATGAATTAACTTATTGTTGATAGTTACCTTGGTGAATGGTGAATGTAAAGAAGTTGCGCACTGTTTTCAATCAAGCAGATATGCGTCCATGTCCACTTCATTATGCTATATCCGGATCCATGGCGATGTTTGAGTGGGCAACCAGCGACCGAATGTAAATAACGCCCCGCAATCTGACAGCGCCGTGAATCCAGGGCGAGGCGAGGACGTGTGACGAACAGATCTGTAGTTTGCGTCTGAATTGAAATATTTTATTTCGGCAAGAAATAATCTCCAGAAATTTTACAAATTTTTTGTGCGCATTGTCAAATTAAGCTGTAGTAGGTATTATCAGTGTTTACGAAACAATCTTCCCCTCCTCTATCTAAAGAATGACCTTTTTCTGTCACGCATCAGTAATTTGTCAAGCAACACAGCTATTTTCAAAAAGTGCACGTTTATCTGACCTTACATTATGGTAGTCACGCTTCGGTTGTCTACAGTTACGGGTTCACTAGAATCCTCATCGCCAATGCACTATTCGCACATAGCCGGTGCGACGAACACGTGGAGAGGAAGGGAACTCGAACACGTAACACGTACACAGAGTGGCCTAATTTCAAATGAACAACTTGTTCAGCTTTATTCACGTAGGGTTCGGGGTTCATTTGTTGCATCGATATTTAAATAAGATCACTACACTATGTATATATAACATATCAAAGCAATTAGAATACGAAGTCACAAATGACAAAAAACATCAACATCACACTTGAATGACAATGCAAGTATTTTGAATAAATGTGATTTAGCTATCATCTAGGATAACCAGTTCTTCCCTCACATAAACCAGTCTAGGCGTGATTTTAGATACGAAACACTTTTGTTTTGAAATTCGTGTTCATCTTTACTCAGCGTATATCCAGCAAAATTCATGAGATCACGACATGAGTCCAATGTCTCAATCTGTCTTGCTATATTAAATGGTAATCTATATTTCCACGCATGCGCAGTTTTTATGGAATCACGACTTGTCGAATAAGGGTTGTTACCCTTATTGATTTTGGTATTATTGTTTAACCAATCTATCACTGTAGCAGGAAGGTCGAGTCCTAAAAACTTGTAAAGTTTTCGTGATTTGTTTATTGGATTCTCTGCAAAATCTTCATATCTAATCGCTCTGTAATTACCGAGGAGCCATTCCCCCATGGTTCTCCCAATGGCCATGTTTTCCACCCATCTAGAACAGTAATCATCCAATTTTTGTATTAGTTGATTGACACTATTCTGTTTGCGAATATTTTCCATCGACGAAAACTTTCCTCTTGGATCACGGATAAGATGCAAAACTTTGAGCTGTATCTGCGGGTCTTTGATGAGCGGCACAAGTTCAGATAAACGATCTACTCGAATTGTTTTAATCGCCGTAATTGGGTGATTCATACAGAATTCAGTCACATGCGTCATGTCGATATATTTGGTTTTCTGCTGATATCTTTCATTAATTATCCAGTGTGCCTGGAATTGTTCAATGTTGACGTACTCATAGCAGTTAGTAGTAGGCGTTGTGAAATTACAGGAATAAATGTCATACAACATATTAATCCGTTGTGACGACATGGTATATTTACTCATTGGGAGTAGACATTTTTTGTCGTGTAACACATACCCAGGCTCGAAGATGTAGAATGCGAGTGGATTCCTGATAAAAATTTCGGAAATAAATGTTGAACCACTGCGGAAAGATGCCATAACAAGTACATTGATTCTTTTCAGCTTGAGCATTCCCAGGTTAGCATACTTGTCTACTGCCAGCGTGCCATCGTGCCTTTCATTCCTTAAAAAAAGGTAGATATTATTTGAATACATTGTGTAGGAGAGTATTAAATACATTCACTGTAATATGTAAACAAAATAAAATAATATGTTGGTATAATATAAACATACTTTTTTGACTGAATTAACGCAAGCTGTTTACGACTTTGTTCCCACTCATCAATGTCTGTTTAATGGAAGAGACTGGGCCTCAGGTGTAGAACCACGACCCAAAACTATTGTTATCATACTGTAGCTGCTCGTTAACTATCACTTATTCATAGTGGAACACAGGCTTCAAGACATGCTTCAATTTATTGTGGATTAAGTATAAATATCCTAATTATTCTAAGGAGTAAGTAGCCAGGACAAAATAATGAAAAAAACACACGTAAAGTTGTATAAAAATAAGTGACACGCGAGAATCCGCCTCCAATTAGAATTGCAAATTAATGTACAGGTGTATGTAGTAGAGGCAGTAATATGTGTATGTCGTGTTTAATTTATTCAATTTCAATTATTTATTTGTTGTGTGTCTGCGTGTCACAAGGCAGGAATGACTTTCAGTCGTCTGTGTGCAAACAGAGAGAAGACAAGCCAACACGTTTGTAACGAGACCGACAGGGTTGTCATTAATGAAACTGGCGTTGTTGGGAGCCAGCGTTATAGAAAGGGGAAAACAGCAACATGTGCTCCAAGAGATCGTGTGTAAGGAGTAACATTGACCATTTATCTTTTTACAACCGTGTTCCAAATCCTGAACATCAGGGATATTTTACAGACGTTACATCTATAATATTAATCAACTGGAAACAGCGATAATTGACACACGCTGTACTTGCATTATCACGTATCATACTACCCTTCGTTTAAATGTCGTAGTATTTGTATAGCGTGTTCATCTACTATCACTCAAAGTCCACATGGTTGTGATATATCTCCACGTTATTTGAACTATACCTTGTTTATATATACTTTCATTACATTATTCAGTAATACTGTACATCAGGTCATCTTATGATCTGTGTATCATTTATGCGTTTTCTTGATATACGAGGGGTGATCAATAAGTTCACGGCCTTCCTCATAAAAAGTTGAAAAATAGTTCAAACATAGTATCCTCTAAGTTCAATGCACATTGTCCATCGATGTTCAAGTTTTCCTATTCCCTCCTGGAAGAAGATTTCATCTTGATTCTTTAGATAAGCTTCAACAGCTTGGATGACGTCATCATCAGTTTCAAAACAGTGACCACGCAAGTAGAACTTAATTTTAGAAAACAGGTAGAAGTTCGACGATGCCAGGCCAGGTGAGCAGGAAGGGTGAGGTAAGAGTTCAAAGCCACATTCGGTTGCTGCTGCCACTGCCACCTGTGCTGTTTGGTGAGGTGCATTGTCCTGGAGCAACAGCACACCAGCTCTCTTTTTCTCTTTGATTGCTGCTTCTAACTGTGCAGTTCTGAAGCATAGTACTAGTACTCTACATTGATTGTTTGACCCTTTTGCAAGTACTCAATCATGATGACACCTTTGCTATCCCAGCGCACACTGGGCATCACCTAGCCGACTGATGCCACTCGCTTGAGCTTTTTGGGCGGCTGCGAACCCGTGTGTGTCCATTGTTTGCTCTGCTCTTTTGATTCTGGATCAAAGTGGTGAACCCATGTCTCACAAATCTCTTGAGGAAGTTGCCAGGATTTGACTGGAAACGGGCAAAAAGCGTCCTTGGAACTTCCAACCTATTGAACTTCTGATATGGAGTCAACATTCGGGGCACTCACCTTGCAGACAGCTTGCTGATCCCCAAGATGTTCGACAAGACATTTTAAACTGCGCCATAACTGGTGCCGATATGTCAGTCATTCATTACCATGCTATGGATGGCCTCAACCTGATTTTCCGTGGTGGCAGAGTTTGGGCGTCCACGCTTGGGTCATCTTTCGTGCTCACCTTGCCTTGCTTAAAGTTAACAACCCACTTCTTTACAGTGGAATAAGAAGGGGAGTGACCATGTCTTCGCTGATTTCTTTGAGAGTCATCCCCTTTTTTATAGAGATCCTTGATCACAGCACGAGCTTCTATCTAGTCCATTTTGTGATTTTCACCTCACCTTCTGATTTTAAATGGGTACCAAGTGCTAATTAATGAATACCTAAATTTTGCATCTCTATAGGTAGTGAGTGAACATTATAGTATGGAGTTATACCCCAGAATAGGAGTTCCGCCTTTTGTTTTATGGTGAGGCCGAGAACTTATTGATCACCCTCGTATACCCATGTTTACAACATTCTGTGCATGGGTACTGTGTAGTATATTTATGATTTTGGCGAGGTTTATAAAACATATTATTATACGTCTGTCACCGTAACGCCATAAATTATATAAATTGCGGTATTTTACGAGCAATTTTCATTCTACCATATAAGGAAATGCAAATTCCAAATATGTAATGATTACTCGCGTAAGCGTTCTCTAATAATGACAACAAACATGGCTACCATCAGAGTTTGGCCGCACTGCACACAAAGAAGTTCGCTGATTCTGTTCAAAACATTTTGGATTTCATCATTCCCATGGTGTATCCTTGGAAGGATAAGATATATAATAATAAGGTTATTACGAGGATACCTCAAAGTATACACTCAGACAGTTCGCCGATACTTCCGCTGCACTGTCTTCGTGCATAATTTGATGCGTAATAACCTCATAATATGACACAGTCACCAGTGGGGCCCATAATAATTGGTATACACTAGAGTTAATATTAAAACATACTGCAATACACATTTTTGTGAAGTAGTATTAGGATATAGGATAAATACGAGGGCGATTTGGTTTGTAGATTTTGACAAAGATTAAACACAAATATGCTGCATTCACTTATTGTGCTGTTTTGCAAATATTCGACTTATTAATCATTTTCTGTCGTTTCAAATATATTTTAAAATTATACTAGAAAAGAAAAATTGCTTATTGATAATCTTTTATTTACAACAATTATAAACCATAAATATGTTTAAGAAACAAAAATCATAAACAGGCATTAATTAATCTAACTTAAACTAATATTGTTTGATACTTTTGTCAAGATATATCATTTTAAACATATTTAAATAAGAAATTACCAAAACCAAATGGATGTATCACAAAGTTGCTGTCGGGAACGTGGTTTCAAGCCTGATTAAAAATGGTGTGGTTTCTGCCCTCGCATATGCGAATATAACGGCTTTGGAGGACGAACTCCAGCTGGTAGGTGTCACACGTTGCTATGGTGATAAACAATGATAATATGTATTAATGACAATACAATTAGGAGAAATTATAGTTTTTTACAATGCATAAACTAGATTTGAGACGGAAACGTGAGTGAGATGGCAGTGATTTGAAGTACTCAGGGATGCGACAGGATGCGAGTATTCGATGACCTAGTTATAGGAAGCTGTGTCTGTTGACACCCGTAGAAGTAGTACCGTATCGTTCTCTCTCCGTCACCCACAGTTGAGTGTCGAGTATGTGTAGACACTGGTAGATGTTCCTCGCTGTTCCTGGTTATTGATATGCAGGTGTGATAAAGCCTAAACAAAGAGTCCGGATGTATAGCTGGTGACAGCGTCGTCGAGTGACAACAAACCAAACCCTATGCGAACTTCTCGTTTCAGATACACCAACTACTGGTATAATCACTGTACGAGTCCATCCTTCTAGAACCATATCATGCCGTCCGTTAGTGTTCGTTTTACACTCTTTGGACCGTACGGCTTTATCTTTAGTGTGAGAATCCCGCTGAAATCTCTACATTTTGAGGGCCACCATTTTTGAACAGGGAAGTACACAGGCTGTCGGGAACACACATTTAAATATAGCAATATATACATAAAATTAAAAAAAATCTCTTTTAATTTCAGGCGTGACTCACCAGTGTCGAGATTCCTTTCCTTTCCTTTCAGTTGTACCTGTACCTCTAGACATGACTGGCTTCATCGATATGAACTTGTGGTATACAGTATATGTAGGTAGAATTGAGAGTATTAACAATACTGACACGAAAAACATAATAATGCGCCTTGTGCTAATCATTTTGTTGTCTGTCTGTCTGTCTGTCTCGTCAGGTCCGGAATCGCAGCTCCAAATTTACACTGTTGGAATTTTCAACGATCAACGTAAAAGTGGACCTTGTACCAAATGTAGTCAATGTTTGTTGCTTTGCATTTAGTTACTCTTCAATTTTGATAAGGATCTTAAACTCTGAACTACGCACGTTTTGCAAAATGACTAGACAGACGCTCACCCCCCCACACAAATATTGGTTACACTTGCCGAAATTGCAAAATATAATGCGAAATATAATATTTCTCAGTCTTCGTCCGCTCTGTCATATTGTCATATTGCCAGTAACACAGATTCTGGAGTGAAAAGTGACACTTTGTGGACATGGCTACTGCATTACCAATATTCCAAGCTTTTTTTGCATATGAGGGCTCTACTTCTATTGGTTCTCGATGGAAGAATTGATTAAAGAAATTTCTTAGTGCCTATAATATCCAAAATAATGCAAGAAAACGAGTAGTACTGTTGTTTATCGTGGTATTGATGTTTTTGAAACACTATCTGACGTGGATGGCAGCAAATGTATGCAAATCAGCTGTAGATACCGTGAATTAATATTTCCCACCAAAGGTGATGAGGTCGATGTTTTTAGGCATGCTACTCAGAAAACAGACGAAATGTATAAATTGTAGTTTTCATGATGTCAATGAAAAAAATAAAATCCCAGGATTTCCATTTGCGTCAACTAGGTTGCGTCGTAAACTCTGAGAGATGATTTAACATTGGAGGCACTGTTTCTGGTCGCTCTGGCCTACAATTACCATGACAACAGCAAGCAACTTTGAACTGTAAATGCTGTGTTTAACGAAAGAATCTAGAAAATACATTTGCAGAACGGTCGTATATTATAATTATAATTATTATACGCCTGTCACCGTAACGCCAAAAGTTAAAGCGTGCCGTAATTTTGCGGTATTTTACGAGGTAAAATGGGAAATGCGAATGCGAATATGGAATGATTACGCGCATAAGTATTCTCTAATAATAAAAACAAACATGGCTGCCACTTGGGTTTGACCGGACTCCACACAAAGAATTTTGCTGATTCTGTTCTAAACTTTTTAGATTTTGGGATTCCCATGATGCATCCTTGGAAGGAAAAGTTAAGATTATTACAAGGATAACTCAAAGTATGCACTCAGACAGTACGCCATCGCCTCAACCTCCGCTGTGCGTCGGTCGATATTCCAGCTGTACTGTCTTCGTGCATACTTTGAGGAATCTTCGTAATAACCTAATATTATTACAGCAATATATGCGCTAGTGATAAATTGAAGTGACTTCTGAAGACTGAATGTTTTTGCGTATACGGGGCCGGTTTTAGTTATAAACCAACGTTATCTTCACGTTCATGTCC